CCGCGGCTGCGGAGAGGCGGCGGGCCCCGTCGGCCGCTCTCAAACGCCGGCTTGGTGGCCTGGGCCACCTTGATGGTCTTACCATCCAGGGACTTGCCGTTCATGTCTCTGGCGGCGGCCTTGGCGTCGGCTGGGCTTTCGAAGGTGATGAACGCGAAGCCCCTCGACTTGGAAGTTTCTCGGTCTTTCATCAAGAGCACCTCGACGATGCGGCCATACTTGCCGAACGCGGCTTCCAGGGCTTTCTCGTCGGTTTCGAGGTTGAGCCCGCCGATGAAAAGCTTCCCGGGGCGATCCGCTTCAACCATGTTGGCGTCTGAAGGGGTAACTCGACGAGAGAACCGAAGAGGAGGTGTCTCTCTCACCGTCGACGTCCTTCTCACTGCGGGAATCGCGGGCGACTCCTACCGGTCGAGAGGCGTGTCGTTGCCCGTGCCTTGTGCGCAGGCGTTGGAACGTTCGGCCGCTCTTTTTTTTTTTTTTTTTTTCTCTAGGCTCCGGGTCCTCTGGCTTGGCGGGCTCTGGCGTGTTGCGATTGGTTGGTTCTGCCTGGGAGGGGCGGGGAGTGAGCGGACGGGCCCGCCCACTCCAGAGCATGCGGCTGTTCAGGAGTCAGCCTTCCCAGGCTTTCACTTCGGTTGGAAACAGGGCTTCGCTGCAACGCTGCCGCTGCTAAAAAGCCGTTCGCTGAAGCGAAATCATCTCCATTAGGTTTCGAGGGAAGAATTAAGAGTTACCCAAACCATTTTCCATCCCCAAAAGTCTACTAGAAATATAGTAATTCCCATATGAAAGAAAACACTTATCTTGCATGCAAAGTATATTACGATTTATTGGACTTGCCAAAAAGGGAAGGAAAGATGTAGCAGGAATGGTTTGGTGGAGGAGGAAGAAGAGTCTTATTTTTGGAAGGTAAATTCTTTCAATGCCATTCAAGTTTTCAACTTTCCAAAGGGCTCAGTAATATCATATTCAGACTACACTTTAAACATAAAGGGTAAAGTAAAACCCTAATGAGAATACTCATTAAAGTAGCGCCTGCGCATAACAAAAAGACTCCACCTCTTCCACTCTTAGCTCTTTTATCTCCGAAGGAAAACTTTTGGGGGGATCATTGGGATGTTATACAATTAAAATTCGTTGTACACACGTACAAAGAATAAATTGGTAATAAATTGTGCCTGAAATAGTAATATAAAATTTAGTGTCAATTTGGGTTTTTTGTTCAAAAGCATAATCTCAAATTTACAATATGGTGAAAAATGGTTAACTGAACAATCATTGTTTGCAGTCTATATGTGTGTATGTGGATATATATGTATAAATATACACGGGGTATTCGTTATATATATATCTATATTAGCTATATAATGTTGAAAGAGGTAGTGGAAATCGATATTGTGTTCTCACTTTAATGGGGAGGCTTTTAATATTGCACAGACTTTTGATCTTAGCCAAAAGGCCAAGAAGTCATGCTAAGAGTTTGGGATGTGAGTGGAAGTTAAATTTTTTCTTCATTAGTTGATGTGATGAATTGTGGTAAAATATTTTTATTATTAAATCATCATTGTATTCTTAAGGTAAATACACTTGGTGGGGATGTATTCGTTTTAAAACATTGATGGATTTTGTTAGATAATCTTTGCGAAATCTTACATTTCTGAGCTTAAAGATTATTGGTATATAATGGTCTTTTTCCTATTAGAGAAATTTTAGCTTTTGTTTTCTTTGGGTAAGCTCATGTGATAGGGATTATTTCTATCTTTTAAAAGATTTACAACTATTTTTTCTGACTTGCCTGAAAAACCATCTGTGCTTGTGTGTTGGGTCTATTTTGCTACTGATTCAGACTGCTTGTTTTGTAAGGTAAAAATTTAAAGATATGATTTATAGTTTTATAACATAACATTTCCCTAAGAAGCCATCTATTTATTTTATGTAGAATTGTTCATAGAATTTTCTTATGCTTTTGAAATTTTATTTGTATTCATAATATTTTCCCGTGTGATCAATCATGCCAGTATTTTAAAAATCTTATTATTTTTTAAAGAACCACCTTTTTAAACTTTAGTTGTTCCTCTGTTTTGATTTTATTTCCTATTGTCTTAATTCTCTTCTATATTCTATAACTTACAACTTATATATTTTTTAAAATCTTACACAGTTAGCTCATTAAGAGTTCTAAATGTGTGTCTTCTCGTTTTTTTTTTAAGGCCAAAATCACTTCCAAGTACTGGTTTAGCAGCATATCCTGAGTTGTGATATATGGCATTTTCATTGTTCAGTTCCTAATGTTTATTTGCATTATTTGTTCTTTGTCATATTAATAGAATAGGTGTGTATTTTTCAATTTTCAAAGATTTGAAATGAAGCTCTGTATGATACCTATTCATTGGATTTTGCTGACATTTGCTCTGTGTTCTAAGAAGTGCTTTTGCATCTTTTTTCTCAAATGCACCATGTATGCTTTAGGACAGACTGTATTCGCTGAATATTGAAGGTCAAGTCCTATCCTTTTATTGGGATGTTCAAGTTTTCCATATCCTAGCTTATTTTTCATCTGACAGAATTTGAAATCACTGAGGAGAGTGTTAAATGATCCCTTAGAAATTGTTGATTTGTTCATTAAAGTTTGCTTTGTGTCAATTTTTGCTTCATATGTAATAAAGGCTATATTGTTAGATGTACACAATTTTTGAAATGTTATGCGTTGTTACCGAATGCCTTTTATAATGTGATGATCCATTTTGTCCACAGAAACATTTTACTTTAATTTTGATTGCTATTTATATATCTTAGCATCTTTTCCAGATTTATTTCTGCCAGTTTATTGTGAGCTTTCCCTTAATCATGCCTCCTTTTGCCACTTTTTCTCCATCTTTTCTGCCCTATTTTGTCTTTATTCCTTTCTTTTTCTACATACTTGAAATTATACTTCCTATTGCTATCCTTTGCTTTTTTCCCTTTGAATACTTTTAATGTTATTATTGAAGATTAACTTAAAAGGTAAAGTGCAAAACCTTAAGTTTACTGCTTAATTTTCATCCAGATAAACCCTAACTTATTTCAAACCAATCCCAGAGGGCCCCTCCTGCCTTTTGAAAGCAGTACCTTTCTCACAGAGGAAATAATTTCATTATGCTGTTTTTAAAATGTTAAATAAGTAGAATTATATGAACTCCTTTGTATCTGCCCCCTGGGTGGTGCAAATGGTTTTCAAAGTCCAAGTGCACTCACCAGAATCCGGGGAAGAAAGCCTGGTAATCTACTCCCCGCCCACAAAAAAAACAAAACAAAAAAACAACACACACATATTGAAAACCCTGTGGAGTACAGGAAGCTGAGGCGTAAGGGGGTAAAATGATTGCACTATGTCACGCAGCTAATAAGGCAGGATTTCAACTCTTCTTTAATTCCATAGCACATATTTAACTAGGTTCATATTAATGTCATAGATTTTACTCAGCCACATATACTACACAAACTGTAGCTTCCGTGGATAGAATTTTATGTATTTAGTGTCCCTTACATGCACATGGAAAAGACTGACTCAATTTTCTGTTACTTTTAGGACTACTGGCAGCACACCTATAGTATAGAGATAAATGAAGGCGTGAATATAGGTGAACTGGAGAGAAACTCACTCACTGCCAAATTCACCCACTGTCATTGAGTCAATTCTGGGTGATAGATTCCTGAGGCTGTAAAGCCTTATAGGATTAAATTCTACCTTACAAATCGGATTAGACCAGAGAATCCAGGATAGATAACCCCCTCAGGGCCAACAAGGAGAGTAGAGATACCAGGAAGATTAGGGGAGGGGGGGGGGAGGAGAAAGGGAATGATCACAAGGATCAATCCAGAACCCCTTCCCAGGGGGACAAATAACAGAAAAGTGGGTGAGGGGTAAAGGAGGACGATATAAGATAGGGAAAAAATAATCTATAACTTATCAAGGGTTTGTGAGGGAGGTGGAAGAAATGGGGAGCTGATATCAGGGGCTCAAGTGGGAAGAGAATGCTTTGAAAATGATGATGGCGGCATATATGCTTGACACATTGGAGGAATGTATGGACTGTGATAAGAGATGTGAAGAGCCTCCAGTAAAAGTATTAAAAAAAAAAAAAAAGCTTTATAGGAGCAGAAAGCTTAATCTGTGCAGAAAAGGCATTCCCTAGGAAGCTCCTCATTGAATTCACTAATTCCAGCATGCTCTAAAAGAGCAAATTTGGGGGAGTTGAGGGGAGGCCAGAGAATATCCAAGATGAAGAAAGAAATGTACCTCCATTATGGAATAGAGAGGACATTCCAAGAGCACCCTCTTCCCGGAAAGAATCAAAGTCCTCCAAGATTGTGTCATCAATGCAAGGTCGTCATCTCCTCTGGGGAGCACTCCTTAAATCGATCCAAGACCCCACACTCTTCAAACTCAGGAGATCCAGGGGTCTCTGGCCTGGGACCTTAACTCCGTTTCCCTTAACTTCAAAGGTTTTGTGCTTTCTGGGTCAATCCGCCCCAAATGACGTCACAGCTCCATAGAACTTGGTTATCCAGCGAGCAGCAGGGTGCGTTTCTGCAGCTCCAAGTACCCACTCGTTTATTAAAACGATATTAAAATGTACCACAAGGCCAGTCACCTTGTCACAATCCCCTACTGAGTCAAGTACATTGCGGAATGTATTTCTGCTCACCTTTGGTCACAGATTCCCTCAAGAGTAAAGACCTGGGAAGCCGGTGGTGTGGAGTGGCCTGAGGCTGCGCACCCTGTTCTTCGAGTGGGGTCGCTTCCTTTCTGGCAGTGCCCGCCTGGGGCCCCACCCAACGCCCCAGGGGACGCCCCGCAGGGAGACTAGCGCGCAAGGCCACGCGGACCACCTGGCTGAGCGTGCACCTGGCTGCGCACGCACGCGTGGTGCTGCCAGAGCGCAAGGCTGGAACTTGCCCCCCCCCATTCTGCACACCTTGCCTGCCGCGGTACCCCCCACCCCCTGGCAGAAAGTCAGCTTAGGATGTCTGAGGCAACTGCGCTCCTTTTCACAAACCAAGGCACCCTGGGCCCTTCTGAATCCAGACTTCCTTCCGGGAGTGGTCCAGGTCCTTGGGGCCGCACCTTATTCGAGTAGTAATTCACAAAGAAACAGCTGGACACGCGCTACTCCAGTAAGAAATAGAACTGTGGGATTCGATGCGCTCCTCTAAAGATTTACACTCTTAGAAAACCCAAACATACAAGTCGGAATCCACTTGATGGAAGTGGGATTGGGTGGGGCTTGGGCGCGGAGACGATGATTCTGGAAGCCTCCGGTGTTCTGACTTGAAGGGTTCCAATTCTACCCCCTCAGAGCCAGCTGGTGGGTTTGATCTTCCCATGGTGCCTTTAGCAGCCCAGTGCTTGTCCCACAGTGCAAGTAGGCCTCCATAGTATGTAGGACGGTGGAGAATAATGCCAGCGCTCTCAGGAGTAGGTAATTTTGACTTCGCTTTATTCACCTCTGTAATTCCTCTATGTCCCATCTATGCCAAATGTCAAGGATATCGTTGCTCTATGTAGCTATCAACTCCAATAACATTTGTACATTTTCACAACTGCAATTTGTTCACTTCTAATGGCTGCCCTGCAACATTGATCTAGAAGCCATTTTACCAGTTAAGAGGATTTTTTGATCTGCAGACAAGGAGGAAAACTGAGTGTGCATGCAGACCCCACCATGTGCACCACACCTTGAGGGCAACGTAACCACGTGGAGCAATGCATGAACTGAATGGGCTAAGAAGAAAAAAAAAAAGAAGGCTGCCCATCCTTGGACATTGCTCCCATCAAGAAGTGAAGTAGAACAGACATTTTACAGAGACATAATGAACCGTATCTAACAGGTATTATGTGCAATATCTAAGGGTAAGAGCCCCCGTCTGTGTCACAAAGTTTGTTTTTCTTAATTGTGTCAGGTTCTTCAAATCAGGCATTCTGTCACTAGGACTCATCTTCAGCCTGGTAATTCCAAGTGGACTTAATAAGTAGGGATGGGTTGCTAACTTCAACAGCTGCAAGCAGTTTCTGAGCTTCCTCATCAAATGTCTCTTTGGACAACCTGCAAACAAGGGAATATCAGTTTTCGTGCATTTTATCTTCCTATAAACCCTCTATTTTTCTCCGCAGAGAATTTATTTCAGGGGGTGAGGGAAGCAAAAGACGTTGAAGTACAGGGAATATTAACATGACTGAGGAATAGGGGAGGGAACTGTGAGGGGAAGTCATTTGATGAAAATAGGAATAAAAGACAATTATCCCATCTTGATTCAGTTGATCTATTCTTTCAGTGGGCCGGAGGTAGATCTTTAGTGATTTCACACCTTTACAGAATACAGCACTAGAACAGACCAAACAAACTAGCCAAGTTCAAACATCAAACAAATGGCAGGGTCAGAATTCTAACTCAGCTTTGAAATTCAAATAATCTTAAACACAATGATATGGAGAAGAAAAGAGAAAATTTGCTAAAATTGATGTGGCGATGATTGTACAGTTCTTCTTGATATGATTGAATTGTATGATAAGTGGATTGTGTGCCAATAAAACTAAAAATAACTGGAAGAAAAAAAACCACTGTTAGAATTCTTTTCTCAAAACTCAATGTTTATGGGGGGGTGGGGGGGTGGAGCACAAAACATGCCCCCAAATAGACAAACTACTAAAAGATGAAATCCAGAGCAGCAGGGGAGCAAAGCAATGAAGTCCCCGAGGAATACCAAAAATAGACTTTGGGGCACTCCACCAGACTCGACAGGAAAACACCCATAAAGGTCAACAAACGACCTGGAACTATTTATAGTCTTTTCTATTGTTTTTTGTCATTGGTTTTCTGGTTTTCTTTTACTCTGTCTTTTTTTTTTTGTGCCTTTTATTATCTCTGCATGTCTATCTAGCTAAGATAGGCAGGATAAACAATCCAGAGGAGAAAATAATGGGACTGACTGTAGGGAGGGGGGTACATGGGAGAAGGGGAGAAGGGGAAAGAAAGGAGAGTGTCAACAAACCCAGGGACAAGGGAACAACAAGTGATCCAAAATTGATGGCAAGGAGGGTATAGGACGCCTAGTGGGGCTTAATCAAGGGCAGTGTAGCCCAGAGGAATTACTGAAACCCAAATGACAGCTGAACATGATAGTGGGACAAGAGGAAAGTAAAAGGAAATAGAGGAAAGAACTAGAAGGCAAAAGACATTTCTAGAGGTCTAAATGCAGGCATGCACATATGTAAATATGTTAATATATAATGGTAGGGAAATAGATCTATGTACATATATTTATATGTTAAGTATTAAGTTAGCAGACAGACAGTGGGCCTCTACTCAAGTACTCCCTCAATGCAAGAACACTTTGTTCTAATAACCTGGCATTCCGTGATCCTCACCTCCCCAACACAATCGCTGAAGACAAAATGGGTGCATAAGCAAATGTGGTGAAGAAAGCTAATAGTGCCCAGCTATCAAAAGATAAAGCATCTGGGGTCTTAAAGGCTTGAAAATAAAAACAAGTGGCCATCTAGCTGAGAAGTAACAAAGTCCACATGGAAGAAGCACACCAGCCTGTGTGATCATGAGGTATTGATGGGATCAGGTATCAGGTATCAAAGACCCAGAACAAAAAAATCATATCAATGTGAATGAGGGGGAGTGCAGAGTGGAGCCCCAAAGCCCATCTGCAGACAATTGGACATCCACTTACAGAAGGGTCACAAGGAAGAGACGAGCCATCAGGGTGCAGTATAGCACCAATGATATATACAACTTCCCTCTAGTTCTTTAATGCTTTCCCCAATCCTCACTATCATGACCCCAATTCTACCTTACAAATCTGGCTAGACCAGAAGCATGTACATAGAAACACAGGGAATCCAGGACAGATAAACCCCTCAGGACCCATAATGAGAGTAGTGATACCAGGAGGGAATGGGGAAGGTGGGTGGAGGAAGGGGGAACTGATCACAATGATCTACATATAACCCTTTCCTAGGGGGATGGACAACAGACAAGTGAGTGAAGGGAGACATTGGTCAATGTAAGACATAAAAACATAAAGTATCAAGGGTTCATGAAGGTGGGGCGGGAGGGAAAAAATGAGGAGCTGATATCAAGGGCTCAAGTAGAAAGAAAATACTTTGAAAATGATGATGGCAACAAATGTACAAATGTGCTTAACATAATGGATGTATGTTTGGATTGTGATAAGAGCTCTATGAGTCCCCAATAAAATGATAAAAAATAACGATGAAATCAGGTTTATTCTGAACTTAGCAATAAACTGATGGCTGTCAAATTCCATCATTACAAGAAACGTTTCCTCAGAAACCAATAAAGACTTACCCTAGTATTTGCAGTGTACATTCAGGAGATTTCAAAACTTCATACAACTTCTTAACCCCTTCACTTCCTAAGGTATTTTGTATGAGATTTATATTTGTCAGTCTTGGGTTGGTGCTAAGAGCAGAGGAGAGAGCATCACAACAGAGAGAAGTTAAACCACAGCCTCCCAACCTGCAGGGAAGGGAGACATAGACATAAGATATACATGACTTTTAATCCCCGACAGAGAGCAAGCAAACAGGAAATCTGTGAGCCTAGAATATGGAATACCGCAACTTCAGAAGTTTAAAAAGAAAAGCACAATTAGGATAAATTCAAAGACTAGAAACATTTTATGATAGTCTTTATTATTAGATATATGTATATAGGCTGAGAATATAACTTCCTATTTAAAAATTGCAAATTCATAATTGTAGCCCAGGAAATAAGTAAAACATATAGGATACACTATAATGCCATGAAGCGGATGAATCAATGATCTAGGTATTTGTACATGTATATATTAACAAGAGATTTGAGAACAATGCTATTGAGAGTTTAAGAAGGTATATAATAAATTCTCTAGCACCATACCGCATACGATTTATGCAAATAAAATGTACGCAAAAATGTATGTCATAAGAGTCCCAGCCACAAATACTAAGTGGATTCCTGCCCCTCCCCCGAGAAGAATTTATTTCAAAGGATGGCACTGAATCTGCAGCTTCAGGAGAAGGATATATATGACCAGAGCACAC